AACTGGGGTGCTTTCTGGAGGAGGAGAGCCTATGAACCCAACCAGGCCTTCCCCTCAAGGCTGGGCAGACACTCAGTGGATGGTCTTCCCCAGGCTCTCAGTGCACCTCCACAAATAGTCATGAGATCACACACAAGTCAGTAATTGTGTCTGTTCACCCCACCTCACCCCAGCCCCGGGATGGCCACACAGCAGGCTCACCCTGGGTCAGGCCATGCTCTATTGTGGAAAAGGAGTCTGGATTTAGTCTTTAAAGGGGGACCTCTTCTGCTTCCTTCTGAGCCATCTGCCCTACACTAGCAGTCTTGTATTCCTTGTTTCAAAACAGATCAACCTCCCCAACCCACGACTAGGGCCAGACAGATAGGGGAATGTCACAGGCATGTTGGGAAAAAATCACCACAATTCTGGTACCAACACTTGGCCTGCCCATGCCCTTCGGGCATGTGTATCCTCTGTGGAGACAGAGTCCTCGACCTTGGACTGGGCCCACCACAAGTCCAGAGTCCTCTTCTTGGAGCCACAGGGATTTTGACATTTGTAACCAAAACTACTATAACATTATATGCTAACTATACTTCAGTCAAGAAAAAAGAGAGAGAGAGAGAGAAAGAGAGAAAACATTAAGCAGTGTTCATGCCTTTCCTGTTGTGGTCTTAGCTCGGAGTTGTCTGTATCTCACACTCTCTTTAGGTCCACAGTCTTATTGCCCCTAGTGGGGAGAGATGGTGTGATTTCAAGCAAAAAGGAACAGACACAGGGATATGGTTCTTAGATGAAGGAGAGACTGAAGGAGGTTACAAAAAGGAATTGAGTGAAGTTACAGAGGGTGTTTCTGGACAGGTGAGGGCTTTTTTTTTTTAATCCAGGAACTTGGTAAAGTTTAATGATATACCAACTATATTAAGAAATGTGTTTGTGCGACAGGGGTACATCTGTGTGAGTTTTTTTGTTAAGTTTATATTCACTCCTATAGGACATGGTACCATCAACGGGTAGCATCTTGCTACCAGAGCAAGAGAAAGTCCATGGAGAACACCTCAAAAACAACAGCACTTGATGGTGCTAGGAAGGTGGCATGGTTTGGAAAGGATGTTGACATCCGTAGTCTGGTAGAATTGTGGGAACTAGCATGTTTGCTGGGGAGGGTTGCTTGTTTGGAGAGATTGGTGGCTCTGAGTAATTTGTCAGTTCATATTTTGGGAAAGTTTGGATACGTTGATTTAAGGAAGGCAGGAAACTGAAAGTGACTGTGGGTTTGAGGATTTTGATGGACTTGGAGATTTGGCATTGGGGACATGTGGAATTAGGGAGATGGGACAAGTATCTGGAGACTTTTGAATAAATTTGCCATTTGGGGCTTGCAAAATTTGGTGGATTGGTTCAGGGCTTGATAAACTTGAAGTTATGAGATTGGTGGTTTGGGGGAGGTAAGTGGACATGGGGATTTGAGCTTCATGGAAAATTTGGGACTTGAGGAGCTTGAAAAATTTGGAAATATTGAGGACTTGAGGGAGGACAAAGGTTTGGAGAGTTTGATGGGTTTGAGCACGTGGGTATATTCCAGCAGTATGGTGTGTTTAGGAAGTTTGCAGGGTTGGGGAGGCTGAGTGGCATAAGGATATTGGTGGGTTTGGGGCAGTTGATGGGCATGGGGCACTGTTGAGCTTGAGGAGGTTGATGAGCATGAAACATCGGTGAATTTGGGGAATCTGAGGTTTTGGTGTGTTTGGTTTTAGAGGCTAGAGTTTTTGGAAGATTGCTGATTTGTGGAAGGTTGCAGCTTTAGGGATGTGGGTAGATTCATGGATGGTGGGTTGTGTGGCATGATTAGGTGCTTTGGACATTTTCTTGGCTTGGAAGAGTGAGAGTTCTGGGAACACTGGTGGGTGTGGTGAAGATGGGGTTTGGGAGAGGTTAACAGATTTGGGAAGGAATAGTGTTTGGGGAGGTTTTTGAAATTGGCAACATTGAATGTTTTGTGGAGGTTGATGACTTAAGGTGTGCTTAAGGGCTTGGTTAAATGAGATTTGAGTATTTCAGAAATGTGAAGAAATTGGTTGCCTTGTGCAGGATGGTAGGCTTGGGAATGGGGTTAGACCTCTGTTGGGTCAAAGAGAGTGGAGTGCAGAAGGCTATGAATTTGTGATTCCATTTACATCGATTAGTTCCATAGGGTAGGCTAATCTTGTTCAAGTTTTGCACTTGATGGATGCAGGACAGGGGGTGTTCAATTCAAAACTATGTATCTAGGAAAGCATCCAACCCTTTCCCCATGGAAGAGTGTGGTAAATGTAGCTAAGATCATCATACCTCTGTTCCTTATTTCTATTCCCAACCCAGTTTGGAGAAGATAATAAGATCAGGGGAATCAAAGACAAGAAGAGTGGCAAGATAGAGAAAGAAGAGGCAAAGCACTGGGGGCAGGGAGAAAGGGCTGAAGAGACAGAGCAGAGAACAGCAAGACATGGCAGGGAACAAAAAGTAGGAGCAGGGAGCAGTGGTACAAATCAGAGAAGAGAGCATGGAACAAGGTGAGGGCGCAAGACAAGAGAGAAGCTGGGAACAGAAGAGGGACAGGAAATAGGGAAATGAAAACCACAAATGTTCCTGCACTGCAGGTACAGCTGAAGGAGCCAATCACAGCACAGATACACTACAAGTTGCCTTGTTTTTGCACAAGTTATGTTCTTCTTCCACTCCAATTTCCACTGTATATATTCAAATTCAATTTCCCAGCACTCAGGAAGTCTAGAATCGTGGGAGAGTTATCACAATGTATCCAGAGAGGTACAGGTAGGTTCCTGGTGTGGTTTATGCATTGTCGGTTCCAGAGGCTCAAGACAACCTGAGACAAGTTTAGAAGTAGGAATGGTTGTACAGCCCTGGGAACAATGTGCTAGTGACCTCATGGGAAAAAAAAAAAAAATCCTTAGAAAGGCACTCTTTCCAGGACTTGTGGGTAGAGCCCAGTACGGAAATGTTTGTGCAGAAGATGAGAGGGCACCTTGAGATTGAGTTTAAGATTGATCAACTCACCCGAAATGCAGAATTTCTCACTGGGGATGCACACTTTGGATGTAAGCACAATTATTCATTCTCCTTAGCAGCCATATAAATAAACTCAAATACCCTTCGGTTGCCTTAATCCTCTGCAATGAATTGAAAAGTTTTTGTGTGAGCCCAGGATACTTACTATGGTCTGCAAGATTCACTGGACTCCAGAACTTACCCCATCTACTCTTGCCGGAGCTGTTTTTTAATGCCTTGTATTTTGGAGGGAATCTGGGTGTGGGAAGAGTTGATTTGTTTACCTGGGGATGTTGATTCAGCCAACATGACAAGGAGCTTGGAATTAAGCACACCACGCAAAGACAAAGGAAGTCGCAATTCCGGGAACCCCTGTCGGGAAGGCAGGGAAGAGTTTACTCTTCAATCTCCTGAAGACAAAGTGATCAGAGATCAAGTCTATTTCTCCTATGATTCCCCAGTGTAGATGGAGATCAGGAACTCACTCCGCGGTTCCTCAAGGGCTTTGCCCAACCGCTCCAGCCCAGGTTAAGAACAAATCCAGTCCAGGCAATCTTTCTAAACCAGGTGTACACCCTCTAGGGGGCGGGTCCCCAGAGGCGAAGGCGTTTCGCCTCCCCTAGCCCAGCCAATGGTGGCACGCAGAGGCCGGAGGGGCATTTTCCTCAACCAACCAGTGCTCCGCGGCCTTTCAAAGCCACGCCCCCATGCCCCTGCCTTAGGCGGATACTCCTAAACCTGCAGCTCAGCCCACCGTTGTTTCGGAAATGAGGTCTGCCTGACCTTTTGTGAGTCTGGGCAAGCTCTGGGCAGCCTGCACGTGGCCTTCGTGAGCTCACTCCCCCCTCGTCATGAGCACGTCCACGGTTCGCGCTATTTCCAGAGTCCGCCGAGCCCTTTGCCCGGCTGACTGCAGACGGACCCAGGAATACTTCCTACTTCTGAGAAGCCCGCCTCTCGCCTTAGCAGCCAAGTCCCATAGGTTGGCCAGGCTGCGCACAGCGCTCCGATTGGAAGGGGGGGGGGGCTGTCCGTCAATCATTTCCTCAATGCACAGACTACTCCACGCCACCTTCATCCCCTCGCTTTCTCGGGTGGATAAGGGAGAGTGAAGTTGCCTCTGTTCTGGCGGAGCACCACTATTGGTCGGGCACCACTATCCATCATGACTGAGGCTGCCAAAGTCCTCGAATGAAGAGGGACATCGGCTTGAGCCTACGATTGGGCCCGGAGATATGTCAGTCAAGATGGGCGGGTGCAATCTCAAGCCAGTGCACAGTACTGGTAGAGATAGGCGGCCAGAATACCGGCGGAAGCGCTGAAGGAGAGCCGGTTTCTCTTGATTGGGCCATGAGGGAGGCAGTGCCGCCCTCCGACTCCGGATTGGCTGAATGTGAGCCGCGCCCCCCTCACGCCGGCAGCCTTCTGTAGGAGAAGCGGGCCCGGCTCGCCTGTGTCAGCCGGGCCAGCCAGTGCGGTTATAGGCGGCTCACCGGGTCCCTAACCGGAGCGACGTAAATCTGGGAGGGGCGCGCGTCATCTCAACGGTGCGGGGACACCAGTAGGCGGCGGGAGAGAGGGCTGCGGCGCGGCGGAGAGCGAATAAGGCGCCTCAACCGGAATCTTCTTGGGAGCGACGTCGCACCCGGAAGTGTGGCAAGACGGACGCCGCACCCGGAAGTGTGATGCTACGGCGGCTTGAGAAGTGATGGTACCCGGCCAATTGAGATACGGGGTTAAAACAGGTGTGTATGTATCTTTATTTTCTAAGGCCCAGTGGGACCTCCCTTTTCGGAAAATGTTGGAGGGTGCGCGTATTTGGCATGTTTTTGACTGTTTCATCCTGTTGAAACCCGACGGGAAATGAGCACTAGGAATGTGTCCGAGGGGGCCAGGCTCAGTAGAGGCTTTTAAGAAGTTTCTTTTGCCGCCTGTCACCTTCAATTCTTCTACCCCACAGGGATGTGCAGATGGAGGCTGGAGGTGACACTACTGCCCCACCCCCTGGGGACGTGGAGGACTTGGAGGACACTCGGTTTCCCAGTGAGGTGGCAGGAGACGGTGGAGGGCTTCGCGAAGACCCACCGGATCCTGGAGACGGGGACCAGGAGGAAACAGGTATGCCTTCCCCTCATTCGGGTCTTGGAAGGAATCCCTACGGAGTGTCTTTGTTGAGGGAGGTCAGTGGAGGACCAGCGAAGAGTCTTTTGGGACTCAGGAAAGTAGCTTAAACCATAGCAGGATCAGTAGGAGGTCATTGTGGACACACGGTGTAATTTAAATCATGGAGGAATGACAAGGAAATCCGTGGGTATCAGGGGATGTTCCCTCGGGCCTTGGTGTGAGTTCAGGTCTTTGATGAATCAAGAAGAGATTGGGGTCACAGAGGGGCATGGGGATTTAGGATGTTTAGGTCAATGAATGACCAAAAGAAAGTTAATACAGTCGCAGGGGAACTATTTAGAAGTCAGTGTCTTTGGTGGCTAAGGTGTTATGTAAGTCCTTGCGGTGGGAAAGGGGATCAGTGGTGACCAGTGGGCACTCAGTGTTTTCATCATTGAGGAATCAATGGTGAGTTGTTGGGGGCAGTCTTTAAGGAACCAGAAATTAGTGGATGTTAATGGTGATCATCGGTAGGGAGGCCGTGGACATCAATGAGTTTATTTGGAGACTGAGATGACCTATAGGAGAGTCTTTGAAGACCCAGCTGGATGTGTAAAGGTATTTGGTGGAGACACAATGGGAGTCTTTGGGGAATCGATGTTCACTGACCACTTTGGAATGAGTGGATGTTAGTGGCATCATCAGGAAGGATGAGTGGACATCACTGAGAATAAATGGTGGTGGTAGGGGGTAGTGTCTTTGAGAACTTGGGAATTACTGTCAATTGATGGCAGGTACTGGGAGGAGGTAATTGGTAACTGGGTACATGGGGGATCAGTGAATGTCAACCAGAGAATGAGGGAATATGTGATCCCTGGGATTTTATGGGAAAATTGTTGAGACATATTTACCAATGGATAATAATGGTTGTCATTGAGGGATGAATGGATATTGACTGGAATAAAAGAGAGGAGTGTCAAGGGAGTCAGTAGGGGGCAGTGAAGTCCTGGGTTTTATTGGTGATTATTAATGATGGTCATGAAAAAAGTCGTTATTATTGTCCTGTGTGTTAGTGTATATTATAGTGGGTATTGTGAGGAAGGGAGTAGCTATCCGTGAAAATAAAGGGAGGTCAGGGAAATCAGAGGAGGTCACTGAAGTCCCAGGTGTTAGTGGAGATTAATAGTAGTCACTGGAGTGAAGGGAGAATAGAATAACAGGGTCAGAAGAGTCAGTGGAGGTCATATGAAGTCTCAGATGTTAGTAGAGGTCGATGGTGGTCATGGTGGGGATGAAGTGCCCATGGAGTAAAATATTTTAGATTGTGTGACAGGGCAGTCATTGGAGGAATTAGTGATATTGTGGGGTCACTGGGATGTTAGTGAACAGCAGTGGGAGTAAATAGTGGATTAAGGAAGGCTTAAAGATCTGGGTGTTAGTGGATATTCATGGCCGTCATTGGGAGAGTTAGTGGTTATCATCAAAAATATACATGGGTGAGCAGAAGAGTCAGTGAGGTCATTAGGGATCAGTGAACATTGATGAGAATATATAAGAGGTTAGGGAGGAGTGGGGCAGGGCGAAGGATTTAAATGAGAGAATATAGAGATATTAGTAGATGGCCAATGAGGGGTGAGTAGGTACTAGGAGAATAAATGAGGGGTCAGAGGTTTTAGTGGGGAATCACTGAAGATGGAAATATTAATAATGGTCATTCAGAGGCACTGGGGTGCTTTGAAGACTTGGAAATGGCAGTTATTGAAAGAATAAACAGTCTCTAGGGACATAGTTCAATAATGACAATGAGAGATTGGATTGTTGGGGTTTTAGAGGGATCTCTTGGGTGTCATTGAGAGGCAGAGGAGACACCTGGAGGTCTGTGTCAGCAGCAAGGGTCACTGGGGAGCCGGTGGAGATTTGGTAAATCCTTGGGTACCTGGAGTTAGTGGGAGTCCACAGCCAGATGACCCACCAGGAGTTGTCTTTCAGAATCCGAGACAAAGGACCAGCCACCCAGCCTGCTGTCACCACTGCCCCAGTCAGCGGCCCCATCATGCACCTGTGGGCTCTGGGATCCTGCAGTCTCTGAGAATAGTCCCACAGGTGGCCCTGAGAGTGGCTCTGGGGGCCAGGGCGGGGACCCCAGTGACGAGGACTGGCGCAGCAAGCGGAAGCACGTGTTTGTGCTGAGCGAGGCAGGCAAGCCCATCTACTCGAGGTACGGCAGTGTGGAGGCACTGTCCACGACCATGGGCGTGATGACAGCCCTCGTGTCCTTCGTGCAGAGTGCAGGAGATGCCATCCGTGCCATCTACGCCGGTGAGCAAAGGAGGAGGTAGACTGGGGGATGGTGACTGGGAATCTGGCTGGCTGGCCCACCGGCTGCCTGGGGGACTAGCCCACCAGCCAGGGGTGAGTCCGTGTGTGTGGATGGCTGGCCAGGCGTCTGTCTGTTGTCCGTCTGTTTGGCCAGTTGGGTTCTGAGTGATTAACTCGCCCGGGTCTAAGTCACTGGCTGGATAAACTTCCTTATTTATCTGAAAGCGTGACCTCGGGGGCTCTGTGGCTGAGTTGGGTGTCTTGCTGGGCTCTGTGTCAGTCCTTGCTCTGTGTCATCCATGCTGTGTGTCTCACCTGATTCCTTGACCCATCGTGTCTCTGCGAATACCCACACTCCCCCCAGTTGTCCTTATCCCAGCCCAAGTGTACCATGGAGTGACCGCGTGAGCTTGGGCCAGCAGTGTGTGTGTTCAGGCAAAGGGCAGAAGAGCCCCGCCCAATCCCCTCCGGTCATCGCTGACCCATCTCTCCCCCCCGCCCCCGCCCTTCCCTCCCCTAGAGGACCACAAGCTGGTGTTCCTACAGCAGGGCCCACTGCTGCTGGTGGCCGTGTCAAGGACTCCGCAGTCGGCAGCCCAGCTGCGGGGGGAGCTGCTGGCTGTGCACGCACAGATAGTGAGCACGCTGACACGCGCAAGCGTCGCCCGCATCTTCGCGCGCAAGCAGAACTACGACCTCCGCCGCCTGCTGGCCGGTTCAGAGCGCACGCTGGACCGGCTTCTGGACAGCGTGGAACGCGACCCCGGTGCCCTGCTCCTGGGCGCGGTGCGCTGCGTGCCCCTGGCGCGCCCACTGCGGGAAGCACTGGGCGCGCTGCTGCGCCGCTGCACGGCACCCGGCCTGGCGCTGTCCGTGCTGGCGATCGGAGGGCGACTGGTGACGGCAGCTCAGGAGCGGACCGTGCTGGCCGAGTGCCGCCTGGACCCGGCCGACCTCCAATTGCTGCTCGACTGGGTGGGGGCGCCGGCCTTTGCGGCAGGAGAGGCATGGGCGCCTGTGTGCCTGCCCCGCTTCAACCCCGATGGCTTCTTCTACGCCTACGTGGCTCGCCTGGATGCCATGCCTGTCTGCCTGCTGTTGCTGGGCACCGACCCTGAGGCCTTCCATGACATGGCCACCTGCCGGCGCCTGGTGGAAGAGGGCATGCACACCCTCGGGGCCACGCGTGTCCTCCGGGAGGCTGCCAGCTTCTCTAGTGCCCCAGCAAGCAGTGCCCCTGCCTACAGTGTGCAGGCTGTGGGGGCACCCGGCCTCCGCCACTTCCTCTATAAGCCGCTGGATATCCCCGACCATCACCGCCAGCTGCCTCAGTTTACCAGGTAGGCCCTGACCCTATGGGCGGTTGGCTGGGCAGGCAGGCTTATTTGACTAAAAGATTCTTCTGCTGGACATGAGGCGGGAGAGAGCCGGGCATCCTCTGGAAAGGAGGGATCGAATGGGTGTCCGTGTAATGAGGGAGGCTCAAGGAATCCCTTACTCTAATCCAGTGCTCAAGGAATCAATCCCTCGTTTGCTGGGGAAGCTGGGTCTCCAGCCCCTGAGAAACCCCAAGTCCGATGGGGAAGGCTCGGCTGCCTCATTTCATTGAACCCCTAGACTGAGGGGACACGGGCGAGCCAAGGAGGCCTCTGACTGACCTTGGCCTTACCTCCCGCGGTCCCCGCAGCCCTGAGCTGGAGGCCCCGTACGGCAGGGAAGAGGAACGGCAGCGCCTGTCGGACCTGTACCACCGCCTGCACGCGCGCCTTCACAGCTCCTCCAGACCCCTGCGCCTCATTTACCACGTGGCCGAGAGGGAGACGCTGCTGGCCTGGGTGAGTCGGCTGGGGGTCAGAAAGGGTTCGTTCCCGACCTCACGCCTCCTTTTTCCCCACCGGATCCCCTCCGACCGTAACAGCCTCCATCGAGCACGCTGTGCCCTGGCCTGCATCACTGTTCCTGACGCTACATGTGTGTCTTTGAAACCCATGAGGATCGCGGGGCCTCCAGCCCTCCAGTAGCCCCATCTGTTCTCTGTTCCCCCGTAAACAACCTGTACAGTGTCTTCCACTCTGAAGAGGTCACATTAACAGCCATCAGTGTGCCTCCTGCTTCCCGGTTAGCCCTGCCTGTGTGTGCACAGTGCACCTGTCACTCTGAGTCCCCAGCGTTCTTGAACATGACAGAGTTGGTCCCAGGCTGTGCCTTCTGCCCGGGGTGTTCTCCCCTGGGGTCTCCGGGGCTCCTCGCCTCCCCTTCCGTGGGTTTATTAAGGGTCAGCTATTCAGGGAGTTTGGTCAAGGTGACCCTGTTGTAAATAGCACCTTCCCCCAGGCTCTGCCATTTAGTACGCATATATTAAATAACTTCTTGTATGTCTGTTGTGTATCAGGCATTGTTCTCACCTGAGAATTTTATTTTACTTTTACATTTTTTTCACTTTGATTTTTAAGCAATTTCAGACTTAGAAGGTGCAAAACAGTACAAATAATTACCATAAATAGGTCTTTCACCTAGTTTCCCCAGATGTTAACCACAGGCGCTTATTAAAATCAGGAAATTAGCATCACTACAACATCATCTCATCCACAGACCTCATTTAGATGTCACCAGTTGTCCCACTAACGCCCTTTTACGGCTCCAGAATCCAGCGTAGGATCATAGGCTGGGTTTACTTATTGTCTCGTTTAAACCCTCCGTAGTCTTTTTTGTTTTGCATGTCATTGGCATGTCTCAAGGGTACCAGCTAGTTAGTTTGTAGAGTGTCCCTCAACTTGGGTTTTTCTGATATAGTATCCTGCGTTTTGGGCAAAAATATCCCCCGAGTGATGTGTCCTTCTCTGCATCCTGTCAGGAGGTCCACAATATCAGTTTGTCCCACTGCTGATGCTAACTTAGATCACTTGGTTAAGGTGACATCTCCCAGATTTCTCCACTATAGTGTTTTGCCTCCTTCATAACCGGCAAATATCTTGTGGTGATTATGTCAGACTTGTTTTTTTATCATACTTTCGTCCACCAATTTTAACATCCATTAATGATTCTTGCCTGCAAGAGTTACTACTTTGGTGTTTACCAGGTGGTGAGTTTTGAACTCCATCATCCCTTCTACATTTATTGGTTGAGATTCTGCTACTATATGGAAGAACTTTTCCTCCCCCTGTTTATTTGTTGAATTTTTAATTTTCTATCAATATGGTCTCAGGGATTTTTCTTTAATTCATTGTGGGCTCAAAGACTTTTCTGTCACTTATTTTGGTGCCCAAACGGTCTCTGATTTAGCCAGGCTGGCCCCTGTGTCTGATACGTCTCCATCACTGTTGAAGCATTCTCATTTTCTGGCACAAGATGTTCCAGCTCATCATGTACTTTCTCTGTGCCCGTCCTGGAATGAGCCATTTGTCTAACGAGCCCTTGTGCCTTTTCGTAGAGAATGGAATTTCAAAACCAAGATATGGTAGGCCCAGGATTTTAAATTGGCTTGTCAGGAGATGACTCACTTAAGAAACGGCATCTAAGGGGGAGGTGGCAGGCCATGTGGGTTTCTAGAGGGAGAATGTGGGGCTTGTCTACAACAGCTGCTCCGTAAGTGTTAAGCTTGTTAAGTTGTTAAGTGTTAAGCATTGTTGTTGTTATACTCGGTGCACAGATGAGCAAACTCATATCCAGGAAGTACACACACACACACACACACACACACACACACACACACACAGCCAGCATTACCCAATTGAAGCCACTAGATCCAGCTGATTCCTTGGCCCAACTGAAAACCCCTGGCCCGCCATGATATTAGCTTACCTGTTTTAGCCCAGTGACCAGGTAGCACCAGGTGGGAGCCCTCGCCAAGTGTGTTTTCCAAACAGGAGACAGGCATGGGGCTAGGGTGGGGCAGACGGGACAGGGCATGACCAGCTCTGGCTCAACTGACTCTTGTCCCCTCTCAAACCTGCAGGTGACTTCCAAATTTGAACTCTATACCTGCCTCAGCCCCCTGGTGACCAAGGCTGGTGCCATCTTGGTAGTGACCAAACTCCTGCGCTGGGTGAAGAAAGAGGAGGACCGGCTCTTCATTCGTTACCCACCCAAGTACTCCACACCCCCAGCAGCCCCAGCTGCCTCTACAGACCAACCTTCCCATAATGGCTTGTTCACTGGACCTTGAGAGGCTGCTAGACTGAGCAGCGCTGGGAACCACCACCTTTAGCTTTTACCTTCTGTCTCCACCCTGGAAATGGGGCGCGGGAGGGGCAGGGGAGAGGCTGCTTCCCCCTGCACCACCACCTCTGGGGCAAATCCTTAGGCCTCCCTCTGCCTCCCTCTCCCTCTGCCTCACCTCCTCCACCTGGATGATGTGCCAGCCTCTGTTAGGGGCTGTCTCCTCCCCCACACCTCCTGTCCTGCATCGAGAGTCGGCCTCCTTGATGGGCTCTCAGCCCTGAGTGTCCAGGGCTGGCCAGGGTCCCCATGGGGGGGCCCGCAGGGGCTCTGGAATTGGGAATGTGGTGCCAGCCTGTGGCTGGAACCAGCCTGGGGATATTTTAAAGAAAAAAAAAAAGACTGTACATAAAAGGCCTAAAACCGGTTCCCACGAGGACATTCCTTTGCCCTTCACCTCCTTCGTCTTTACCCTGTCAAAAGTGGCCCCCATCAATGTAGCTGCTGCTGCTAGTAGTGAGAAGGCGGCCTCCAGGGCCTACCTGTCTCTGTAACCCAGGCAGAGCACCTGACTTCGCACATGGCTGAGATCCAGACTTTTTACGCAGGAGGTGCCCTCGGCTTCCAAGGCTCCTTGTACTCCTCTATGAAAAGGAGGAAACGTCGCGTAGGCTGTCACGTGAGGATTTGTAAACGAAAGGGGACTCGACCTCTTGTGTACCACCGCACAGCACACGTGTATGTGTCCCAGACTCACAACCTGCACAGCAACCTAGAGAGGGAAAGCCCTCCCTAGAGTTTGTGCACAGCACTCATTCCTCAACCGAACCAAGACCCAGTTGTGCTCCTGTTTTGCCTCTCCCGGAGTTGGCGGGCCTCAGGGTAGACGCATGCGCGCTGTCAATCAGGGGCCCGGGTCCGCGCTTGGCTACAGCTGAAGCCTCATTGCTCCTCCGCCCGGGTCAACTGGCGAGCGGACACGCACTACACGCATGCGCGGCGCAGGGCCTGTAGCCCTCGCATAGGTGGGTTTTTGTTTTTGTTTTTGTGTTTTAACCAATCGTCATCCGAGGCGCACGCAAGCGCAACCTCCCGCGCGTAGGAAAATGGCGGGGAAGTTAGAGCCTTTGGCAATGGAGCCGCCGGAAGTTGTGGAGGAGACCGAGGAGGCTGAAGGTAGGGAGGGCAAGCAGGCGTCTCCGCAGTCGGGTCAGAAGGGAGGGAGGCTCTGTCCCGTAACAATAACGAAATATTAGTAGCGGTACTAAAAACGTGAAAAGTTAAGCTTTTTATAAAAAACCATCAAAGGGGAGACAACTAACTATTCTCAATCTAGGTTAACTCCTGTCAACTTAGTTGGGTATGTTGACTTAAATGTTTGGAAGAAACAACAGCCTGTATATTTCGGTATGCCTCCCTTCACACAAAACACGGAGGTGGATGTTGTCACAAAAATCACCCTGCTGCCGCCACACCGAAGAAAATCCCCAGTAATTCCCCAGTGTCCTTTCACACCCAGCCCACGTCACATTTCGCGTGGACTCTTGGGTCTTAATGGAGAATGGCCTCTCCCATGGACAGCTTTTCTCCACAGCATTTTGTCAGTTAGGACACCCCACACCCTAGTGAGAGGGGAAAAATTGCCCTAGAGATCATTAGAAATCACAGTGTAGCCAGAAGAGGAAAATCTCCCAAGACGGTGAGCCGCCGCTCTCCCCCTAACATTTTTTCGTTACAGACATTTTCGGAATGTACACAACTACAGCAAATGACATGGTGAAGGCCCATGTACCCATCACTCTGGTTTCACATGTCGACTCTCTGCCCTCCTCTGATCTATCCCTGTCCCCCTTCCTGCACACTCTTTAAACCGTTATATTAATAACATGTTGGATTGCATCTTTCCAGATCTATCTATGCAGGCATCGTCAATAGTTACGATTGTTATTTCTCCAGCACCTAAAACAAGGCCTGCTTGGTATATAGTAGGTACTCAGTAATTTTCTTTTTGTATTGTATGGATAACTAATAACTTTACCAGGAAGAGCTCTCTTAAATAAGGGCTACATGTGGAGGGCCAGCTCTAAGCAAAGAACAGACAGAAATGAGAAAGCTGCAAATAGATCTCATGTATTGAGCAGTTACTATAGCACTTATGATAGTAACAACTGTGCTGAAAACTATTTTAGTTTTAAGCTTTCAAATTAGTCACAATTGAAGTTATGATTAACTTCACCAGCAACAGAGAAAATTGAAAAGCATATCAAGTTATCATTTTCTAGCCCATTGAAAATGGCTTTAAAAAGAGAGGCTTTAAATCTAGTATTGATTACTCTGTGGGGAAACAGCCTGTCTCTTGCCTCACTCAGAGAACTGACCACTAAAGACTTTGCTAGAAGCAGTTTGGAAGAATATGTTTAGCATCTAAAATGCTATTCCGTATCTTTAGTCACCGTGCTCAGTAATCAGAGAGTATGCAAATGTGTGGACCACAAAGGATCACTGGAGTGTTGCGGATGGAAGTAAAACACAAGGAGCAATCAGGGAAATGGCTGGATTTAGATCTGTCCATGCGTATCGTGGAATGCTTGTGTGGCGGACATTTTAAGCAGTAGGGGGGAAAATCCAATCTCATTTAAGATACTTAACAATGGGTTTTAAAAGCGTAAGGTCATGGTTTGTTGACACAGAAGGAGCTCCAAAGGTGATCATAGTTTTATGAGAGGAAAGCAAATTGGGATTTAAAAAAACCAGAGGGCCTTGTCAACTAGAGCCCTATGTATGTCGCACAGAACAGCGTCTGAAGCTAAAGGCCTAACGACCCTCAACAAGGGACGTAGGTTTTTAGGAGTGCACAAAGGTGGAGGTATTTTGTGATGTTTTTTTCTCTTTTATTTTTCTTTCAGGAAAATGTATTCTATAATTTTAAAATATAAGAGAAATAGGGGAATTTTTGAATGGCATCGGAGGATCATATACTGACCTTGAGCACTGTTAACATCCCAGTTTTGATGGTTATACTGTGGTTACCTGGTAGAGTCCCCTTGGGTATAGGAAATATACACTGGAATAGTAAGGAATAATGGGCCATCGTGCCTGCAATTTGTGTTACAGAAATGCTCACAACTGGGAAATCTGATACCAAGGCAGATAAGAGCACTGGGGCCTTTTTCTACCACTTTTATGTACATCTGAAATTATTTCAGAATAAAATGTTAAAAGGGACTCCTGCTGTACAGGCTGTTTTATAATATACACTCCTAAAAATTTTTATCAGGACGTTAGTCTGATTATTTAAAAGATTTGCTGATAATTCACGATGACTAGGACTAGAAATAAGGTGGGGAGGAAAAATACAGACAGAGCTTTGGCAGAAATGGTTACAAAAGCCGGCTGTAAAAGGCACGGAGACAATCAAGAAATCACGTTATCTGGGCACTGGATGGTATTACATGATGACTGTTACTCTTGTTGGTGTGGTTAAAGGTTTGGAGTCATCTAGTGAAAATCCCTTAAGTAGCTGAGACTCTTCATGAAATATCCAGGGATGAAATGTCAGGAAGCATAGGGCCTTCTTGAAAATACCTCAGCCCAGGAAAAACGTAGCTGAAGCAAATACGGATGAATATTAATAGTTGTCAGATCTCAGCAACGCAAAAATCAAAAAGTTCATCATGGTGTCCTCTCTACTTTTGTGTGCGTTTGGAAATCTTCATGTGGAACACTAAAAAGAAAGCAAATAATTAGAAGTACTTCCCCCTTGTTAATAAAGTAGCTTTAATTTTTGTTTCACTTCCAAATATTGAAAATTATAAAAATTTAAGAATCTCAAGCAGAGACATACCAACCTAGTATTACTGATTATATCAGAGAAAGGCAGTAAGATTTAGGGCTAAGGCGAGAAGGAAAAGTGTCTTTTTAACTTCACCAATTTCTGTAGTGTCTGAATGTTTTGGGGGGTAAGAAAGTAAAAATTAAAGCAATACATGAAATACATTTTACTAAAAGGTCTGAGTGTGTTCAAAGGCAGTAGTTACCTCTGGGAAGGGGAGTAACTTGATGAAGGAGCTGTTCATAAGAGGAAGCTTTTACTTTCGTCCAGGTTTTTCTACATTAGCTTATTAAGTGCCGAAAAATTCAAAAGCAAAATTAAATTAATGCATGCTAATTTGTAAAGGATTTCAGACAAGACAGAAAGATGTACAGAAGGTGAACATATCACCCCAAACATTTTTTAAATTTTTATTTACTTTTTTTAAATGTTTGTTTATTTTTGGCAGAGAGAGACAGAGCATGAGCAGGGGAGGGGCAGAGAGAGAGGGAGACACAGAATGCGAGGCAGGCTCCAGGCTCTGAGCTGCAGCACAGAGCCCGACGCGGGGCTCAAACTCACAGACCGCGAGATCATGTCCTGAGCTGAAGTCGGATGCTCAACCGACTGAGTCACCCAGGTACCCCAACCACCAAATATTTTAATAAAATTTAATAAGCCTAGGTTAAGAAAGAAGCCCTGATTTAAAACATGATTTCTAATGGTTACAAAAGATATCATCCTACGAATGTGCTGTAGTTAACTAAGATATCTTTAGGTTGCTTCAGTTTTTTAAGATTAGAAACAATGAACAATTTGCCCACCATCGTTTATTTTCTTAAGATAGATTCCTAGATAATGGAATTTCTGATCTGGAGGATTTGACTAATTTTTTAATATTTACTACTAAAAAGCTTGAAATGTAAGACTGGTTTTGCCTATCATTTTGGCAAAAATTGAAAAGTCTGAAAACGTATTTGGCTGCTAAGATTATGGGGAAGGAGTCTTTTGTGGACCTGCTTGAAACAAGTGGAGAGCAATTTCATAATACACATCAAATTTAGTAACACACATGCCCTTTAATCCAGCTGGTAGCCTAGTAGGAATTTATCCAGTAAATATATTCCCATACCTGCACAAAAAAGAGTGTATGGGGATGGTTTTCTGGTTGAATTGTGCCCCTCCCCCAAATTTAT